GTTTTAATTAAAATTTCTCTGATTTTGTCTTTTTTTTTCTTCTTCTTAATGCAGGGGAAGAACTGTATGCTTCCTAATTGTATATAATTCATTGTTGTTGTTGTTGTTTGCTTTGTTCTAGGTATAAGGAGCGAATCTTTTCTAATGCAGAGAATGCCAGGCATATGAAAGAAATGATAATGCTGGAACTGCAAAAAAACTCTGAAGAAACACCAACATCTGAGATGAGGAACCAGCTGCCAAAAGGCCTCGCAGTGACCAGCCAAGTACCCAGATAGCAAGCAAGCAAGCTGAGCTGCAAGATTGAAAATTACTTGCTAAGCTATTGCAGACTTGCCAAACTTCACAATTTTGTTGCACAATTACTGCAAGTCTGCATTGCAAGTCTCCAGATCAACGTGCTTTGCAAATGTGCTGTGCACTTGCAGAGCTCTTGCTGTAGACTTACCTAGCATACTTTTGTGGTCAGGTCTTGGTCAGATTTGTAGCACATGTCCCAATTAGTGTAGCAATATCTGTATTGTTATGGTGATCGCAAGCACCAGGAAAGGCAGGAAAGTTGTCTTTTAGTCATGGACATTCTTCCTCATTTCAGCTATCCCTATATTCTTTGGTGGAGCAAAGAAAATGTTATAGAAATCCCTGCCAAACAATCTAAAAAATAAAGGAAAACAAAATAACAATGGCAATCAAGAAATTCATAAGTACCCAGAGTTGCAGTACAACATGGGGTTATAATAGGGTAATAGTGGGCATATTTATAAAGCAGTGTATATGACTTTCACCAAACAAACATTAATGCAAAAACCCTTGCATGTTCCCAGATAGCAGGCAATTGAGCTGCAAGTTTGAAAATGACTTGCTAAACTATTGCAGACTTGCCAAGCTTCACAATTTTGTTGCACAATTACAGCAAGTCTGCATTGCAAGTCTGCAGATCAATGTGCTTTGCAAAAGTGCTGTACACTTGCAGAGCTCTTGCTAAGACCTGCAGGACTCTTGCTATAGACTTTCAAAGCAAATTTGCTACAAATTCAAAAAGTGTCAACTAGAACTTGTGCTGCAAGTGCTCTGCAAGTCTACAACTTCCCAGGAATGTGTGCAGCAAGTTAACAAGAATTACAATTTAACCCTGCCACAAGTTTGTGGCAAGTTATCCTTGCTATCTGGCTACCAGTCTGGGCAGTGTCTTTGCACAAATTGAAGGTGAATTTCCATCAACATCTGAAAGTAGTGCTCCAACAGCTGCTAACATACAGCTGGAAACATATCTGGGAGAGATCACTGTGCCTCATTCAGGGAAACCCCTCCCTTACTGGGCAGTTAATAAAATGTGATTTCCAGCTCTTGCTCAAATGGCACAAATATATCTTTTAGCGCCATGCAGTAGCGTGGAAAGTGAACGATTGTTCGGCTCTGCGTCAAATGTGATAGCAAAAACAGGATTCTAGCTGAACATGCAGAGATGCTTCTGTTCCTTAGAAAGAACTTGCCACTAACTTTACAAAAATTCTAGGAGTGCTCATGAGAGAAGTTAATTCACTCCTCCTATAATTATAGGACTAGATTACACTTGATTGATAAACTTTACCAATGCTCTCTTCACATTTCCAACGCCATAGACTTTTTAATGGGGTTGGAAATGTAATGAGAGCATTGGTAAAGCTTACCAATGAAATGTAATTAGCCCATAGTGTTGCTCCCCATGATTACAATGAGTGCACTGTTATATGTTGCTGTATTGCACCTTTTGTTTGGTTGTGATTTTACCTTTGTTATTATTGTTGTTAACTTGTTATTATTAATATGTTTTGTATGTTAATATTTAATTATTAACATGTTATGAGACATTTCTTTGAATCGGTACGGCTTTGTGACAACTTTAAACAAAGCAAATTGTTTTATTGTTTCAAAGTCGTGTCTTTTGAGTTACAGTTCTTCATAATTATGAAGAGACTGCCCTAAAACCATTAGTTTGTATTGTTTTAGAAAAGATGTCACCTGTCCCTTTTTAAGGAAAAGTATCGGTAATTGGTATCAGCGAGTACTTGATAAAAAGTATCAGTACTCGGTCTTAAAAAATGGTGTCGGTGCATCCCTAATATTTATATATGTTTGAAGTAATTGTCTATAGGACATCGTGTTTGTTGATATTATTTGACATATGATTTGCACTTTGTTTATGTAGGAGATTTCTGAGATTCACCTTAAAGTTTATATTGCAGACATGTGCAGATTTTTTTTTACCCAAACAAACAGTTTAACACTGAACTCCAGACAAACCGCTAAATAATATACGGGTGAAATACATAGAAGGAACCTGTGTACCCCCAAAGGATTTGTTTATCTGTCCATCCAGTCCTGAGATTTAACCTAGGTTCTCACTAGTGCTACTGGGTATTTCAGTGCATCTTTGTAGCCTGTTTATCTGTGTTTGATGCTTTAAATGTGTTTATATGCTTCATGTGTTTTTCTTTTATCCAATGATAAGCAGTATCTGCTGTGACATCATTAGACGCAGTCTTCCTTTTTCATGCACTTCCATTGAAGTCTATGAAGCCAGAAATGCACATTGTAGCACCAAAAGAAGAACCACAATGAGCACCACCACCTTGCCAAAAATTGCACTGCACCATGTTGCATTGATATAAACAGGCACCATTAAGAATAATTATGATTTCCGTTGTGGAGTGCAGCGTGACAGCAGGCGCCTTACACAACTGTCCCACAGCACAACCCTGTCTAGGGTGGGCACCTGAACTTTCTCTGCTGTTTTACTTACATGTTACAGGTCCCCTATCCACCCCACTCTGTGAATGGACAGTGAAAGGAGAAGCAGCATACTGATGAGCTCATCTCTCCGTCACTCTGCTCTCTTATATCGGCTCATGGCACTGCAACACCCCTGACTCTTTCTGTTTTGATTTTCTCATTCCCCCCCGTCTGAGCTCTGCTGTGCAAACTGTTTAGTATAGTACAGATAGTACAATCACAGAGCTGCATTAATTTGTAACTTTTTACAGTATATGTGCCTGGAGTTCAGCTTTAAGGAACATGCTGGGTTCACTGCCCTGGTTAATTACTATGAATACTCTTGGTTCTGAATATCTGTGGAAAATGAACTGGAAAAAGAATCACACAAAAAAAGCTAAGATTCTACAGCGATTGTACAGATCATAACATGTATGCCCAGTTTAATACAGTTTAGAAAATTATTTCAGGGCTGATTAACAGAATTTCTGGAAAATCCACAATGAGTAAAAGGGATTATTTCTATGTCAAATCCTTACTAAAGAGCTGAGCAGAGGTAGAGCAGATTGTACTAGCATTTAACATGCGTGGTCATCTTCACACTTCTGACATTTGACCGCTATAAATAGGTGTGGGTAGAACAATTCTGTAGGTAGGGAGTAGGGACAGTCTCTTGGTTATGGGCTGTTGAGTAATATTTCTGGAAAACTAACAATCAGAATGGGAATTGCTTATTTCCCCACTGGCACAGCTCTGTGTGTATATGTACACATATAATATTCTTAAACTGGCAATTTTTCTAGCCCATACTGTCCACTCAGCTCCATCCAGAAGTATGGGTAGCTCAGCTCTTATTTACGATAGCAAGGACGCTTGAGAGATGCAGGCATTAAAGATGATAGCTTCAGGAACTGCAGACAAGTCAGATATAACTAGGAGCTTTCTCTAGCTCTTAGGAGTTACTGGCATGTGTTTCACATTATTTATGAAAGCCATGTGAGAAAGTGGCTGTATAGTTTAGTTTCTTTAAAGAAGGACTCTGGGCATGTACAAAATTAACCCTTTCAATGGGACTACCCCCGCACTGCAAGAGTTAAGTGCTCATTTTGGTCTAGGGCAGGGGTCGCAAAGTACCGGCCCGTGAGCCGGTACTAAGTGACCCGCAGCCAGCTGCCAAGTCAGGTACACGGTCCCGGACCGCGTGCCTGACTTGCGGGAGCAGCTACACACTCTGCATCCCTGTTGGATGCAGAGCTGCTCCTGTCAGCTCCGGCCGGAGCTCCGACAGTTCTGAGCTCCAGCCGAATGGATGATTAGTAAGGTCTGCACCAGACCTTAATAATCACCACTAGATCACCAGGGAGTGATGTGCCTCCTCCCTGCACAGATGCAATCAGGTGAGGGGGCTTCGAAGGAAAGGAGGGAGGGGGGTGACTTTATTAATATGTGCATTGTGTGTGTATTTTTCTGTGTGTGTGTATTAGGCCCCATTCACACCTACAGTATATTTCAGGTGCGATAAGGGATTCCACAATCGTGTATCCAGGGATAGTGATTGATTCCTAACTGCATGTAATCCTTTCACATATGATTTACATGTGGTGTGCAGGCGTTTACATGCAGCAGCTGTCACCCGATCATTAACTTGAATGGGTGACAGTTGCCGCTTGTAACGTGCATACATTAACACTGGTACCGTATATAGTAGCGGCCCCCACGGGACTAAAAAATGTGTCCAGTGGCCCCCGAGTAAATTGAGTTGGAGACCCCTGGTCTAGGGGCTAAAATAAAAGATATACTCGCCTGATCTTCAGTCCCGTTTGGCTGCTAGACCAGTCCTTGCAGCCTCTTCTCCTCTGAGCCCCGGCTGTCTAAGGACCTGTGAAGTCACAACGTCCATTCACTTGCATTGGACATGAGAACACTGAGGGACATTCCACAGCCAGAGTGGAAGGGGAGAAAGGTGAGCAATCCCACGGAACCAAGGATCGGGTGAGTATATCCTTTTTTTATTTTCAACCCTAGACAAAAACAAGCACTTGACCCTTGCAGTGCTGGGGTAGTCTAACTGCAAGGGTTAATTTTGTACATGCCCGGAGTTCTTCTTTAAACATTTTGAGCCTTGGTATTAATAGTAAAGTCTTCAGTGTGGTATTATTTGTCAGTTGTAAATGCTTATCACTTTAAAACATGAATATTTTTTCATTTGAATTTGCATTTCAATCTCAACTTTCGTTTTCCCCCTTTAGGCTTGGCTGGACTCTCATGAACGGAGCTTTGGCCATTTTGTGGGCGGTAAATGGATTAAGCCAGATGGTAGACAGACATATGTTACCAAGAACCCAGCAACAGGTTAGTAGTTGTTATCAGTACTTTCTTACCATACTTCACTTCTACATGTTTCCTCACTTGGTAAACAAGATTCCTGTGAACAAATAATTTGGATGAAGGTTGATGGTAGAGTAGGGATCTTCGACATGTGGGATCTTATTCTGCTAGTAACATAACATTTTGTTGACAGTTGTCTAATTTTTAAGCACATTGAAAAGTGTTGTAATTCAAATGTGGCAAAAAGTTAATCAGTTAGAGAGAAATTTGAACATTTTGCATGTAATTTTCTTGGTGTTGGTAGCATCAGTGCAAACATTTACTGCTGTATATTTTCTCCAGCAAATTGCTAACATTGCTGCCTTCCCTGCTGCACCCCTCTGGTATTGGTCTCACTGACATCAATAAGGAATTTACCACCAACCAAATGTAAATTTTTCTTTTTTTTTTAAAGAATACATCTTTTTTTAGTTTACTGTGCTCATTACTATTAAGATGGTCCCACACATTACATCATGGACCATCTAAACCAAAAAGCAAAAACTGGATATATCACAGCTCACATACCTCTACTTTACTACTCAGAGGATTTCACATACATTTTTCAGGCTACAGTACTAACAATCATCATTACTACCTGGGTCCTACTAAGTCTAGTAATTGCTGGGCTGGCTGGTACCAGAGAGAAGATTCTTTCTTCAGCCCTGGATTCCCTTCAGTTATACTTCAGATATAGTGAGGGAGGAGACTGTGATTAGTGGCTCCTGAGTGCTTCTCATTCATTTTCTTTGCGATTGCAAAGGAAACAGGATGACAAGCGCCACTGGAAGTGACATGGCACTGCACTGGTCTGCAGTGTGGTCTATAAAAATGGCTTTTTAATGGTCTATAAGGGAGGATTAGGAACACCCAGAGATGAACAAGGCTACCCTGTCTCAGCAGCAGAAGTTCATGGTTACATCAGAAGAGTTACAAATAGCTTAACTCCAATAACTGATTACTCCAACTCTAACTAATTAATAATATTCCCTCCTGGTAACCACTTTTACTGCTACAAGCATAGGTTTCATGAACCCTATATATGTATAATAAATAATTTACACACTACTGTATGAATAATTTAAAAGACCCTGTCTCCATATCTTACCCTTCCAACTAAACACAGGATGGCTTTCTGTATTAGATATAGTATCACAAGCGCTGCCTGCTGCAGCACTTAGAGAATAGTAATGGGCACGGGCGTGTTCGCAGCTCCACGTGCTGAGCCCGCCAGGAAGCTGACAGCGCCGCAGCGCCAATCACAGGTACTGAGACATTATCCCGGTCCGCTGCTGCAGAAATTGGGAAATGTCTATGTGCCTGTGATTGGCGCTGTCGGCATCCTGGCTGGCTCGGCACGTGGAGCTGCGAACACGCCCGAGCCCATCACTATTACAGAATGCTAAGATATCAGCCCCACAGTTCAGCCACAAAACTAACACTTCCCCCTGGCCCCTATGTCCTCATTATTTCATTTGGAGGTAAAAAATCTCTTACGATGGGCACTTAGTGTTGCATTGTAAGTAGAGCTGCAGCTAACGATTATTTTCAAAATCGATTAGTTAGCCGATTATTAAGTTCGATTAATCGGTTAATCGGATAAACAATAACATACATTTTAAAAAATGGCTCCAGTGATGGACTACTAGTTTGTATTGAGGTTGTAGTCCATCACAGGAGCAAGCTTGGAGCGGTGGAAGTAAAAAAATGGTGTGGTGTGCAATATAGTGAAATGGAAAGTGTAAAATTATACAACAATGAATGCAGAATGGCATCGGTTATAGAGGACTACAAATCCCAGCAATAGTACATTATACAGCGCAATGCAGAATATCACCAGCTATAGAGGAATACAACAAATCCCAGCAATAGTACATTATAGCTAGTGGTATTCGGCATTGCACTGTACAATGTACTATTGCTGGGTTTTGTAGTCCTCTATAGCTAGTGGTATTCGGCATTGCACCACTGTATAATGTACTATTGCTGGGATTTGCTGTGCTCCTCTATAGCTGGTGGTATTCTGCATTGCGCTGTATAATGTATTATTGCTGGGATTTGTAGTCCTCTATACAGCGCAATGCAGAATATCACCAACTATAGAGGAGTACAACAAATCCCAGCAATACATTATACATACAGTGTATAATGTATTGCTGGGATTTGTATTCCTATGTATAATATACAGCCCAATGTACCATCAGCTATAGAGGAATACAAATCCCAGCAATACATTATAGAGCACCATGTGGGGCGGGGGGGTTTGAGTGCAGGCTTACCTGAGCAGTCTTCCAGCAACTTGCTTCTGAGATCGGACCTGTCTATCGGCAGCTTTCATCCCCCCACACCTTCTCCTCCTTACTACATCTCCCCGCGTCCCTGTGCCAATCGTGGATGTGGGCGGGCGGAGAATGTGAGGCGGGAAGGAGGTGCGGCGTGTAGAGCGCGGAAGCGGGCGGGTCTGGCAGCGGTGAGCGTGAGTTGGGGAGGAGGTGTGGTGCGCGTTTGTGGACCCGTAAACAGGGCCAACTGATCGGAAGCCGATTAATCGATTATTGAAAAAGTTGACAACTTTTTCAATAATCGATTATAATCGATTATGTCGATTAGTTGTTGCAGCCCTAATTGTAAGCCCCATATAATTGCTTTTCATGCCACTGTTTGTGTTCTACCTATTGCAGAAAATAAGTATCCATTCCTTCAAATGAGTTCTGATTTCCTTTCTGTTGACCTGGGTGAGGGATAATCAGTCCTTCAAAAACATATACCAAATGCGTGTTTTCAAGTTTTGGAATCCATCAAAGATTGTCTAAGTTGTTGGAGCAAAAAGGAAACCTCTCCAAAAGTGTTCTTTGAAAGCGGTGAACCAGGGAATGCTAACAACAAGCATGAGCCAGGATGGTTGGTGTGTGCACTGCTTTTCAGGCAACCTCGTCGCCTCTCTAAGAGATTTTTTTTGCTCAAATCTTTATGAAACTTATTTTAGATTGGAGAGCCATATTGTCAGCCCAGAGCTTTTTGAGGCATATGAGTTTGTTTTTCTTTTTTCTCCGAAAGTGTACAGTTGCATAACATAACAGCCCTGACTCGATTCAGCTTTCTGCCACTATCTTTCATTTGGCAGAAAATTACATGACCTGATCTTAGAGGATCACCTGTAGGGGTCAACAGATGTTTCATACTTCTTCAGTTGCAAAGATTGGGAGAGTGGTGACCAAATCAAAAGGTGTTTAAGATGATAACACAGATGGGAAAGGTCCTACAACGGATTTGTTTGCGGTAATAAAAAATGGATGTCCAAAGAGATTTTTGTCACTGTCCCCTAGCTTTGTGGTAATTGAGGAATATATCTATATACCCCTTAATGCGCGTGTGTGTGTATGTATATTTATGTATGTGCACACTGCATAGTATAGTGTATATGCAAAATGTAACGCAAATTTTAAATAAAATAAAGATCCCTCTCTTTGTTTTAAAACTTTCTGAATTGAACATAAAGCCAGTAACTGTATTGTATGATAATTGTGACAAAACCTGGAGTAGTTTACGTTTTCAGCACTAGGTGTCACTGTATATTGCTTCATATAGACTTCATTATTACTGTTTTCAGGAAAGCTTATGTGACCTGCCTGTACAAGTTTACAATCTAGGTGAACACAAGTTAGAAACAATAGGTAAGGGGACGAGCATGAGCAGTAGGTGATAGTATGACCCTGATCAGTAGGTTTAAAGAGATATATGTTATGGATCAGTGACTCAAAAGAATATCTTGGGTTATATTTATGCTTTGCTGAAGGAGGGTGCATTTAAAAGTAATCAGACAAACCAAATTGTAATTATTAATTACAGGTTCTGTTTGGGCAAGAAAATGTAATAATCTTATGGAAACTTAAGTTTCTTGAGAAATCGGGTGGTATGATCTCTGCAGTTACACTCTCACATCTTTGCAACAGCTACATTCCTTGTTTAATTGCAGAATGTATTTAATATTATGGACAATGCAAAATTAATAGCGGTAATGTTCTGCAACACACATTATTGGATTGGACCTTTTAAAGATGAACTGCACTGTGTAACTCAAGCCCAAAAAATGTAGGTAGAGGTTATAGAAGCAGTTACCATTATGGCTTGTGGTCAGGGGCTTATCTACCGCAAGGCAAACAAGGGATTTGGCTTTGGCAGCAAAAATGCCGCCCCCAAAACAGAGAGGTGAGCCGGGCTGCACAGAAACCGGCAGCCTCGGCTCCCTAATCAAGGAACGGAGGAGGAGGATGAGGCGAGGAGGAGAGGGGCGCAGTTCTGGGCCCCCGCATCTCCGGTCGGGCGGCGG